TGGGGCAGTTCTACTCTGTTACACCAGGGGGCGCTGTGAGTGGATGATCTATAAGAGTATATATGAGTATATAGTGACACAATAGATGACAACCTAGGAAACCCTGTGGGGCAGTTCTCCTCCGTTACACCAGGGGCGCTGTGAGTGGATGATCTATAAGAATATATATGAGTATATAGTGACACAATAGATGACAGCCTAGGAAACCCGATGGGGCAGTTCTACTCTGTTATACCAGGGGGCGCTGTGAGTGGATGATATATAAGAGTATATATGAGTATATAGTGATACAATAGATGACAGCCTAGGAAACCCTATGGGGCTCCGTTCTCCTCAGTTACACCAGGGGGCGCTGTGAGCTGGAATCAACCCGACAGTACCACCCAACAACAACAACATAATTCTTCAGATGTCTTCTCATTGCTCAGTCAGTCTGGGAATTAAACTGTGTTCACTGGACTGTTCTCATTGAGACAATAAAATTTTCACACATTAAATGTGTGTGAAATGGCTTTGTTCCCCACAAGGGACTGCAACATCCCACCCGACTAATCCAAGAATCCCCAGAGACAGCCAACTGTTTCTCAATGAGATGCTTCCAACTTGAGCTTGTTCTTTTTTGTTGTTTTGTTTTGTTTTGTTTTAAACCGTAACGCTACGCATGATGAACGAGTACAACATTTGCAGCCCTGTGTCAGGCTGGGGCAAGCAATGCTGACGGCTCTGCTGGTGGATGAGGGGCCGTTCTTCCTGTTGCATGCTCACACTGACCCTTGTACTTTCTTTCCTTGCCTTCTGTTTCCTGTACCAATGCTTGCTGGGTAGCAAATGGAATCTCTTGCAGTAAGTTCACGTTCTTTCCTATTCTTTGTCCATTGTGGCATGGACCCATATACAGAAACAGGTTTCTACTGTGGCTGTTAGATTTCTTAGCATGTTTGGCCCTTTTTTTCATTTCATTTTATTTGGTTTGGTAGATTGAGACATGCAGGGATTTCTTTTGTTTTATTTTTGTAACCTGGGCTGCTTCCACCCCAAAGGAGAAACCGACGTGTCTGTGATTTCTGGCACGCTCAGTGGCACAGGCTGAGTAGTAACTACCATTATTTGGCACTTAAGGAGCTCTGGTGACATACTGTAAGATAAGTTCTGACCCACCAGCCGCTTGGCGGAAGAAAGATAAGGATGTCTGCTCCCGTAAAGATTTACAGTCTTAAGCCATATTCAATCAGTTATAGCTTGTCTTATAGACAGTGGGTTCATTTTTGTTTCTTTTTTGGAAGGGGCCCTAGTGGCGCAACAGTTAAGCGCTGGGCTGCGAACCAAAAGGTTGGTGGTTCAAAGTCACCCGCTCTGCAGGAGAAAGTCCTGAAGCTCTGTTCCCATAAAGATGTCAGCCTTGGAAATCCTAAGTAGTCGCTGTGAGTCTAAATGAATTCCACAGCACCTAACAAAATGTAGCTTGTAAGAAAGAGTTTTCCTAACTAGGCTTCACATGGAATTGTGAAGGTGCCATTCATTTTTAACACATCTCTGGCGACCTTCTCTAAAAATCTGCTGATTTTTAAAGGTTCATTGATGGCTGTAGCTGCTGCTTTTAAACCTAGACTGAGATCACATAAATTCAAGTCAAACCAATGTTTTCCTAAGGGGCAGTAAAGAGAACCCTGGTGGTGCCAACAGCATTGGACTGCTAACCACAAAGTTGGTGGTTCAAACCCACCAGCTGATCTGTAGGAGAAAGACATAGTTTAGTAACGTAATGAATTATGAGCTGGGCTGCTAACCGCAAGGTCGGCAGTTCGAATCTACCAGTCACTCCGTGGGAGAAAGATGAGGTTTTCTGCTCCTGTGAAGATTTACCACCTCAGAAGCCCAGTGCAGGATTGCTATGAATCAGAACCAACTCGGTGGCACATAGCCATCTACTACTCTCCATCACTGAGTCAGGAGCAAAGAAAGGGAAGGGGGAGGAAACCCATTGGTTTAGTGTTGTTGTTAAGTGTTGTTGAGTCAATTCTGACCCATAGCAACCCTGTGTAGGGTTTCCAAGGAGCAGCTGATGAGCTTGAACCACCAGACTTGCAGTTCAAATGACTTTGCAGTCTAATGCATTACCCCACAGTGCTACACCAGGACTTTAGTGTAGTAACCTTTTAAGATTAGGTTCAAAAGTCTGTTAGTAATAATGTAGCTAGAATATTCTTTCTAAAGCTAAAATTTAGATTTCAATCATTCCTCTCCATCATCTGATTTGGGGGAAGAGTTTTATGTCACGTTAGAAACTCGGCTCTGAGCTGCTTTAAGTTATCCAAAATGTGCTCAGTTATCCTTACCTGAAACTCCCTTTGAAAGCGGCCCAGTGCCGTGTCTCCTTTAAGTCACATCTGAAGCTTGTGTTTCCATGGGTGACCGAGACAGGAAATGCCCAGAATTACACTGGTAAAACTTAGGGGGACCTTTTTGCTACATGCAACTCAGAATAGTGCTGGCACTTGCTTGGGGATCGCTTGTGAGTTTTCTTTTGTTCCATAAAATGGATCATTTTAAATTCCAGGGTTGTTCATGGGCTTAAGGATCGTTCTCAGTGACGACTTTTTAATGCTGTAGCTACAGGAGGCTTGAGATGTTTTCATAATTAAAGCATTTTGGCCCCTTTTCCCTATCACTTTAACCCAACAAAGATTTCCTGAGCACCAAGAGGACTATTGTACTTAAAATGGACGCATTGCCCTAGAAGGTCATGTGGTTGTTGTGTGGGCACATGCTTGTGGGACAAGAGTCTGCACCTCGAAAGCATCCACTAAACTTATAAACTTGACACCCAGAGCTATTACAGCTTTGCCCTTTGAATGTACTTATAATTAAAAACAAAAATGATTTACTTTCAAATTTTGTACCTTATAAAAACTGAGACAACTACTCAACTATAATTTGTCGGCATTTAATTGGCAAACATCATAGACATTTGGCAGCTTACTGGGATACTTAAATAGCCGCCACTCCTTTCTAAGTACTATATTTTTATACCGGTAATGCAGGGTGTTTTTAAAAACAAACAAGCAAAACACACAACCCATGCATTTTTTATGGGCGCATTATACGCTGAAATACACAGTTGTTCACCTGCCCTGGGCTCTTTGATTCTGTTACACTGTGGGCTTCTTGTTGATATTTATTGAAAGGATTTTGTTTTTCTGTTTTATTGGGGATGAGAGTTATGCTTCCTTAATTTTTTTAGAAGTCTTTGTCTCCACTGATATTTCACTTGCTATCCGTGAATGGTCCTCGCGACTTCTCTCCTTAGTAACCGTTTCCTTCCGTATACCATCTCTCTAGCAACTGGAGCTCTGTCAGAGGCTGTACAAGCTACACTTCCAGCTGCTACTGCTGTTCCAATCGTACTGTAAGCTCATTGGCCAGGTGCATGAAGTCAGTTCCATGCCCCAGGTAAGTGGGCTCATAACTCTTCAGTGATTAAAACAGGATTCCGCTCAAGGAACTTCCCCTCTTTGATCTCTAAGGGTTTTCTGGGGCAGGGGCAGGTTTAGGGTCAATAAGTGAGGCATCAGCAATGACCCTGAGAGGCTCTGAAAGATCCCTTTAACGGGACCCTCCAGACACCTCCTTTTTGTTTTCTTAAACTTTTTATTGTGGTTTGAGTGAAGGTTGGCAGACAAGATCATTAGCATTACATTCAACCAATTGTTTCTTCTCAGTGATTACAATCCCCTCCCTGCAACAGCATTCATCCAACTTCTCTCTGTGGCTTCCCTTTTACAACTTTTATTTCACAGATGACCAAAGCAAAACTATTTGATGTACACATTGCAAAACAAAAATATACATATACATTTATTTTGCGAGCCAGCCTCCTGCCTGCAGGCACACAGCCCTACTCAGTCCGTGGACCTAGAGCCCATGGCTGCTCTGACTCTCCATGCTCAGACAGCCCTGAAGGAGCCCTGGTGGCACAGTGGATTAAGCAGCGAAATGGCTAACCTCATGGTCAGCAGTTCAAACCCACCAGTCGCTCCAAGGGAGAAAGATGAGGCTGTCTACTGCTCTGCAGGATTGACAGTCTCAGAAACCCTAAACTCTGTCCTGCAGGTTCTCTATGACTCTATGGCACTGTCCCTCACCTCATCCTAATCCTGGCTCTGTCTGAGCACCTTAGTGTAAAAAAAAAGGCTTGTGTAATGGTTTCTCTTCGTTTCCATGTAGTTTCAGTAGCAACTCTGAATGTTGAGGTGAAAGGGAAACTCACACAAAATACGATACAGCTAACATTCTCAGCCATTTCCCAGCCATGCTTACAATAGAATAAGGTGCTTCCACCCGTGTAAATGTCAGAAGGAAAGTAACATAAAGATATAACCACCCGTAACAACTACACTCAAATGTTTGCAGTGCAGACCCACCTTGTGGATCTGCAAGAGACCAGGCAGTAAGCTCCCCTAAAAACGACACCATAGAAAACACTATAGGGAGTTCTAACTGTCACATAGGGATGCTGTGAGTGGATGATATATAAGTGTATATATGAGTATATAGCGACACACTAGATGACAGCCTAGGAAACCCTCTGAGGCAGTTCTCCTCCGGTACTCCAGGGGGCGCTGTGAGTGGATGATATATAAGTGTATATATGAGTATATAGCGACACAATAGATGACAACCTAGGAAACACTGTGGGGCAGCTCTCCTCTGTTACACCAGGGGGCGCTGTGAGTGGATGATATATAAGCGTATATATGAGTATATAGCGACACAATAGATGACAGCCTAGGAAACCCTCTGAGGCAGTTCTCCTCCGGTACTCCAGGGGGCGCTGTGAGTGGATGATATATAAGAGTATATACGAGTATCCAATAGATCTGTTTTGGAAGAAGTGCAACCAGAGTGCTCCTTGGAGGCCAAGGTGGCTAGGCTTCGTCTCTCATACTTTGGACACATTGTCCCGAGAGAACAGTCGCTGGAGAAGGATGTCATGCTAGGTAAGGTGGAGGGTCAGAGAAAAAGAGATGAATCAGCCAGGTGGCATCATTGATGACGTCAAGTGTGGCGGCCTAGTGAGGTTGGCCCAGGATCAGACATTGTTTCGTTCTGCTGTGCATGGGGTCGCTATGAGTCGGTTCTGACTCAATGGCACCTGACAACAACATAGTGACACAATAGATAACAGCCTAGGAAACCCCGTGGGGCAGTTCTACTGTGTCTCAGGGGGCGCTGTGAGTGGTAGGATGGCCCCGGCACCCACACTGAGTGAAGTAAGAGCAGTGTACACTGGACATACAGAAGCTCAGAGAACCAGCATCTAATTCGCGGAGGCTGCCTGGGATTCCCGCTGGGCTGGGGAGTGAGCACTCCTGTCATCAGATCTCCTCCTTGTGGGGAAGTCTGGCGGCATCTGCATGTAGTGAAACTTGTTTTCTCCTTCTTCTCCTAGCTGCTGAACATGTCCAGGGAACTGAGTGACCTCAAAAAGAACCTGAAGGAGGCCACAGCGGCCATCGCAGCAGACCCCCGGCACACTGAAGGCGCCTGGGCAGAGCCAAGCTTCACGTCCACGGAGGCTGCCATCCAGGCCATGCTGGAATGCCTGAAGAACAAGGAGCTTGGCGGCGCCCTGCGGCACATCCGGGAATGCAGGTGACCCCCGCTCTTTCCTTAGAGATGGGTAAGGATGCGGGAGCACTGCCCCGCTAGCCAGAAGGTTAGCGCTTCAAACCAACCTAGCAGCTCTTCAGGAGAAAAGACCTGGCCATCTGCCCCCTAAGGATTCAGGGTTCCGACTCACAGTGACATCGCAGGACCGAGTAGAGCTGCTTCACAGGGTCACTGGGGGCAGCTCTCCCTTGGAGCAGCTGGTGGGTTTGAACCACCTACCTGGCAGTGAGCAGCCCAGAGCCTAGCCCACTGGTCCTCCAGAAAACCTTATGGGACAGTTCTACTCCATCACGTGGGACACTGTGAGCTGGGTTCCAGTAACAACAAAAGAAAAACCTGTCCAACGGCTGTCACCAGGGCAGGAATGAGCCACCACTGGGGACCTGTAGATGTTGCTGTGATTTTGTCTTTGCTGATTTGTGGCATGGGAGACCCCAGGTGCTACAGAAGTACTGCTGCTCCATGGGTTTTCTTATCCATCAGTCACCAGGTCTTTCTTCCTTACTGCCACTGGGTGGGTTCGAACCGCCAACATTTTGGTTACAGCCAAGCGTAAACCATTTGCCCCACCAGGAACCTGGGGACATCTGGATATTGTATGTGTCTCCCTCTCAGATTTTTACACTTGCCAGAAACGCAGAGCCCAGGTCATAAACTTAAACTATCAGTGTAAGTTCTGGTCCTTTGTCATCCCTAAACCATGGAAAGACCTCAAAGTGTACCTGACCCCATATTGAAAAACCCTGTTATTCCAGTCTGTCCGGCTGCTAGTTTCCCCTCTGAGCAGTGATGTTGTCTTCGTACTCCATGGGTCCAGAATGCTAAATAGAAAGACATACATTTTCAACTTATCAGTTCTAATCTTTTATAATTTTGAATATTTTTATCAAAACAGCCATATTCCATGTTCTAACATAGATAATGGTTATGCTTGCACAAATCTGTGAACATATTAAAAACCAGATAATTTTTTTAAATTGCCATTCAGTATATTTTAACTCATGGTAACCCCACATGCAACAGATAAGACTGCCCCGTAGGGTTCTCTTTGCTGTCATCTTTAGAGAAGAGACTCTCCAGGCCTCCCTTCTGCAGCATCACTGGTTGGGTTCAAACCACCAAACTTACAGTTAGCAGTTGAGCTAAACACCATTTGTGTCAACCGGAGACCTGATGGTGGTGGTGTTCCTGTCAAGAGAACTCCATAGTGTTTCCTAGGCTATCACCTGTTATGTCACTATATACTTATATATACTCTTATATAGCATCCACTCACAGCGACCCCGTGTGTAACAGAGTAGAACTGCCCCACAGGGTTTCCTAGGCTATCATCTATTGTGTCACTTGTTGTTGTTGTTGTTAAGTGCCGTCAAGTCGGGTCCGACCCGTAGCGACCCTGTACAGGGTTTCCGAGGGTGTAAATCTTTACGGGAGTAGAAAGCCTTATCTTTCTCCCGCGGAGCGGCTGGTAGTTTCGAACCGCTGACCTTAAGGTTCGCAGCCCGATTCGTAACCACTACGCTACCAGAGTCTGTATTCATATATACTCTTATATATCATCCACTCACAGC